AAAATAACGTTGTCACATTTAAACAGCGTGCTCATATAAGAATGGAGCGAACACCACCGCGCTCAATGTTTTTAGGCCGATTAATAATTTTGTTTTCCCGTTAGTAAAATCCAAGCCGTAATGAGCCGATCCAAGTTAAATTAGAAAACGAAATGAATATATAAACATGAGAAGTGGAAAGAAGAAAAGAATAGAAGAAAATCAAAAAGACGGAAAAGAAAATATATATTTTTTAAATAAATTAGAATAGACGTAAAGAAATGAAAAAATCGGTAATAGTTAATAAGAATTTAGTATACGAATTTCTGACTTCTATGGCTTATATACCCAAATACATATAATATATATATATATAATATAATATAATAGGCTTACTTATGTTGAAGAGAAAACCACTTAAAAAATAAATACGAGAGTGTGGATATTAAACGTCTGATTCGTTTGCTATACAATGATAAAATAAAGTTACATGTTCTTAAATGTAATGCAGTTTGTTGTAAAAAAAATTTAGTTAAGAACCTTTATAAGCGGCTTTCAAAGTGGTATTAAAACCACTGTAAGCAATAAACTTTCCAAAGCTGCTTACACATTCGACCTTCACTTAAAATCAATACGTCACAAATGTCAACTCATCTCAGCCGGCAGTCTTGACTTCGCTCAAAGAAAACGGGACGTTTTGAAATGACATGCTACATATTCCGTTCTACAGTTCTGCTCCGGAGACCTGGGAAATGTAAGGTTTCTAATAGTATTCGCGGTTTTGTCTCTCCACACAAATGTTTGGAGCGTATCTTAACAAAAACCACTTCATTCCGCTTAAATTAATCTTTGACACACATCAACACTACGCAATATAAGACTCATTGGAAAAGTAATTATTAAAACTCTCAAAATCTCCTGTCGGTCAAACAATTAGATAACTTCACATCCTATAGAAAGTCAACTCCTCCCAATAAAAATATTAAAAATTTTAGCCAAAATAATGGTCCTGAATATCTACGCTGATCTTAAAAAAATCCATTAATTGTAAAAATTGAGGTTTATACGGCGGTGAGTCTGAAGATGGCTGTCTTCTGAACTGTAGCGCCGTGTAGTCTGGTAGAAGTTTACCGACGATTTAGAGGTCCTTGCTGCCTCCATCAACACATCTTACACTATTATCTTTATATTTCAAATGATTAACTCCGTAAAGACGAAGTTCATTTAAATAATATTTAAGTATTCAGCCCGCACCGCGAAGAAAACACATATCTTCACCATTACAGAGATCATCTGGTTAACTCTGTGTAAGGAAATAATCTTTGTTTATACTGAGAATCATACAAACCTATTAATACACAATACGGATTTGTTGATAGTTAAAGCATCTGGTACATATAGTTACCACTCAAGATTTAAAGAGTTGAACTGGGGATCAAACCTTCTCTGTGTCTTTACGGAAACTAGAGGTGGTTTGAGGGTCCTGCCTTGCATCAAATATTCACCTAATTGCAGATTGATGGACTGATATATACAACTATAAAAATTAAATCAGAAGAATGAACGGATCGTATTCCACTTATGTCCGCAAACGAATCCTGCAGTCTCTTATTTCTATAGAAAAAGTGTCTTAATCAGTCCGATCCCCTTAAAATTTCTGATAAGTTTCGTCGTCGCTGCTAACAAGACATCACAACTACATTACATTGGAAAACACTTTTAGAATTATTCCGGTTTAATATTCATTTTTACTCCATCTTTGCGTCTCCCCCTTGTTCATATTTCGATATAAAGAGAAAGTTTTCCAACGAATGAATGCATTTCAATGAGAAGTTTTCAAAGTCTTTCTCTCTACAAAATTCTGGATAATATATTTAGTTAATAATTGTAGAATTTTACGCATAAGTGGCGTTAACTACCAGTGGTGTGTATTTCTTACCCTATGACAAACAGATTACGTCAGATGCTTTTAGTACAACATGTACTGTGAATCTAATACCCAGAAAAGAACAGAAAAATAGTTTCGTTAAAAATATAAAGGACAATGTTAGTTAAATACGTACACTAATCATGGTCTCTGACCGTATTCGATAAAACTCGATACAGCTATTAAAATTAGTTTAACTTATTCTGACATATACAATGAAAATGTGTATGTATATAAATATTATACACCCACACGCAAAATTTTTTTTAAGACAAGCCCTTGTGAAATTTCTTTAATTCCTGAGACTAATTTTCAAAATATAAAACATAAACTTTCAAGGGATTTTCTCTCGAATTCGAACATCAATTGTACTAACCATTTTTTTTTACGAAAAACAGTGACAGAAACAGCGAATTGTAAGAACATCAGAAACCTTACCATGTTAATTAATTTTCCGTGGTTATTCCACCTTACAGATGTCTCAAACGAGGAGCTAAGAACCAGCGTATCTTCAGTTCTACTCCAAAACTCGCTCGCTCACTTACTTTACCTTTTTTTCAGATGAAACATTTACGCAAAAACTTTTCATTTTCAAAGCCTTTGGTCTTTCGCGTGTATAGCGAACTATGTACGCATCTCTGAAAGATTCAAGAATTCTGCAAGTGGCAGCTCTTTAAAATATTCACGTGAATACGTCTTGAATGTTACTATCCATATAAAAACCTCTCCCCCTTAGCGCCTACATGGCGTGTAACAGGATTAATTTACCTCTTAGTTCAAAAAAGTAGTTTCGACGTTTTGAATGACACGAATCCTGTATTCACTTACTGGAGGTCAAGGAATATACTGATTGGCTAAGAATTAGCTTGATAAACCAAGGAAATTAAAAGAAACAGACAAAATGGCTCCGGAAATTGAATTCATCTCCCAAAAAGAAAGACAAAGACCTTCGATTTTTTAGGATATCAGCTCATCTGCGCGCTGCTTCTAACCAACGGTTTAAACTATTGGCGTACAGTTTCAGAGATAAATATGCAGCTAATTAATTTAGAATCTGGCAGCTAAGATAAGAGTATTGATAGACAAGTGGTTGGTTTCACAGGAAGCACAGAAAAAAGTTTCGAAATTAATCACAAGAAATTAAATTAAGGCACCTCAAGTGATTACATAAATACACGCTAGGAGCGCTACTACATTTCGTTACGGATTGTTAGAGCGAACACGTTTAATCTACCAGAGTGGGCTCTCGAAATATACTGAGTGAGAGAGAGAGCGAGAGAGAGTGAGTGAGTTCAGGGATACCACGCATCTGGGAAATCAAATCTCTGGTGTAGCAGTTTAGTCAGTGTGGAACGTGAAAAAGTCTGAGGCGAAACGAAAGACAGCAGAAAAGTGTACTGGCCCTACATGAATAACCTGCAATTACGGTATCCAGACATTTATAAAATCGATTTAATCCCCATAAAATCGATTTAATTCATAAAATCGATTTAATCCTCATAAAATCGATTTATTCATAAAATCGATTTAATCCTCATTAAATCGATCTGATTCATAAAATCGATTTAATCCTCATAAAATCGATTTCATCCCCATAAAATCGATTTAATTCATAAAATCGATTTAATCCTCATAAAATCGATTTAATCCCCATAAAATCGATTTAATCCTCGCGTAATATTATCTTACATTCCTCGCGGGTTAAGATTGTGCCAGCTTGGTACCAAGGTTACCCTTTTATTAAACTTTCCACCTCACAATCTGTAATTCGTTTTATCTGCTGAGGAGGAAGCCATAGTAACCAAGAAATTACCCGTTTCTCACGCAGTTCAATTACACAAGATGGCGGTTTCTCACACGTCCGCCTCCTCAAAGTGTCTGCCTGTTTCTGTCCTTGAACTTGTAGGCTTCCTCTGCCCACGTAAAATCCTACAAATATTATCTTACGTATTTTACATACATTCTTCCGGTGTGACGTTCAAGCCTTATTTACATACATGAACCAACGTGGCTTCAGCAAACTCCCGAACTTTTACGAAAGCTTCTGTAATACGAAAAATATGGAGTTGGTATTATTTTTGTTAATGTCAAATTATACTTCTCATGAACAGGATCTGCTTAATGTAATAAGGACAAGTTGAAACAAGAATTTAACGGAAAGTTATTCGATTCTTGTTCAAATATTTCTGCTCCTTTCGGTGATTCATGGCGTTTATTCGGGAATGAACAATCGTCCCACAAATAGCAAGGACTTAAGGCAGAATGCGCTAATGGATTCCAAGAAAAGGGGGAGACAGAAAGAAATAAAGAAAAATTAAACACAGAACGGAATAAATAAAACAATTCGACGCAATAGAGTCTAAGCAACCGACAACGTCGTTAAATATACCACAAAAATAAACCTGAGTAACAAAAGATAAATAAAAGAAAATATCACGTGTTAAACATTAAATACAATAAAGCCACAAACACAAAAGATTATTACAGAAATTTATGTCTTATTTCATCTCCACTACATGTTTCGGTCAATATAATGACAATCTTCAGGAGATACAGCAATTTATAAATGCTAAAATTGAATTGTACAGCATGTAATATTAAAAAAAGAAGTTAAAATGATCAATATGTAAAATAATTAAATAAATTTATAAATTTTTAATCAAGTGGCGGTTTCTTGGGTTGAAGCTCCGTCAGTCTTAATCATCACCCTGATGATGGAGGCAGCAAGGACGTATGAAAAGTTAGCAAACTTCTATCAGGCTGCATGGGGGGGGGGGGGGGCACCCCAGAAGATGGCCATCTTCGGACTCACCGCCGTGAAAACGTCAGATCCTAACCTTACAATTTACACCTAAAGATCTTTAGCGTACTTTACAAATTTAAAATTTAAAATGTCCATAGTATATTTGGTATTGTTTTTATAAGATATGTGGTCCAAGGAGTGTGTTATGTATTTCTCTGTACTTAGAATGGATTAATAAAGGCTTGTGTTTACGCCTGAACAATATCTGGAATGCGAACCACTTGAAGTTGGTCAGAATGTCGACTGTGCTTCTAGCAGGTTTGAAACCATAAACATGTTTTCAGTACTCACGTGTTGGATTCGTCATACGCATCATTGTAGTCATCGTAAGTATTGTAATCGTCAATATTGGTAGCCGTGTCACCACTGTTGGGCAAATGCCCGTGGCCCCACACTGAAAAAGACAATACAAAATATTAACACTCGTATGTATTTCTATACAGGGATATGAGACTACATCTTCTGCTGCAGAAAGTTTCGGAGAACTAGGTATCTGCCATTCTTTTACGATCAAGAAACCTCTAAATGAAAACATAAATAATATATAATATTAAACTTTTACAGCCCAATGGTAACTGAATGTCCCACTTGCTTCAAAAATCAGTAATTCTGCAATATTCATCTATGTTTTTCATACGATTCTCAGCGATTATTTCTTAAAACAGCATTAACCACTCGATCTTTGTAATGGTGAAGTGTAGTGTTTTCTTCGCGGTACGGGCTAACATATCTAATAGTACCGATATTATCAAAGTCACTTCACAAGTTAGGGAAACCTAGGGGCCGTACAAATTCCTCTTTTGTCTGCCGGACCGCAGTAGGAACTTCTAAATTATGTATTAAACTTCCAAATTAATAGCCTCAGCTTTCGCTAATACAAAATTTCAAAATTCCGTCTTTTATGCCAATCATCACACTAACGCCTTCACTCTTACTTTATCCTTAACAGAAGGACGAGCGGGCATTGCCTGGGGACCTTCTAGCTATAAGATGCTCTTTCTTCCCCCCAGATATCGAAGTGTCTCTCACTTCTCCCCCACCAATTTCCTCTTTCTCTCTCTCTTTATTAAAGTCACTTCAGTGATAACTGTAACCCGAAAAAGGCACTGCAGTGGAGAACAGGGCATTGGCCAACCCTATTGAGATCTTATTAGTCGACCATCCTCCCCGCACCACGACATGCGATAGATCTAAAGAGGAATCCGAAGATCGAATTACTAGATCGACTTTTTTACATTTGCTTCAGTCGTAATTGGAAACAGTGTATGACCTGTCCAGTTATTTTCACGTATTAAATATCAGTAAAAGAAGCTGTTGTTTAACCTCAAAGAAATGAAATATATCAACAGAACTAAACGGAAGTAACCAGTTAAATTCCATGACAGCGCTGTTCACTGCCATTGTCGATTAAAAGGATAACTTCACAGATAAATATTAGCTAATAACCCCCTGAAGTTAAGTGTTAAAGCTGTAAGAACGGTTATAAATGGTACGTTAACGCTTTCAGGCCACCCATAATCTAATCCAATCCATTTTATTAAATATAATTATATTATATTTAATTCTATACAATGATAGTCAATTATATTCGATTTTACTCTGTTCTGTTCTAACGTACTGTATTAAATTCAATTACATTCTATTGTCAAACCTATTTTATTTTCTAATATATTTTATTTGACGTCAAATCCAAGAAATAACGGTAAAATTATAAAGAGTAAGGAAGAACCTTAAATTTTTACAATTTAAAAATTCACACAATTGAATAAAAGTTTACAGGTGTTCGTAATGAGTCAATTGTTATGAGTTTATATTCAATTACTTCGTCTAATGTTATTTTATCAGGATTGTAAATTTTTAAGTCTGTGTTACATAAATCGAAGATCTCGACTTTGTTGTTGGCCGTGAAAATGACCTCCACCGAGCAGACAGGGAAGGAAATGAAACCAGCCACGACCTTGCCGAGAGACAAGCGGTGAAATTACGTCACTGGGAGTGGCGCTGGGTGTCTGACGTCCTGGTTGGAAACTATGGCGCCTCGGACTGAATCACTGTCGGCTCTGTGAGAAACTGTGATGTGTCAGATATATTATTCTGACGGCGAGAGACGAAATGAAGGTTTCACATGCTGGGAAGATTTTTCTTACTCAAGTGGTGAGATCTGTCTTGAATTATACTGGGGGTCTGATAGACAGTAGTTGAGATTCTGCGACGTTCCTGACCTGATATCAGGTTCATTCCCTGCTTGCGAAGAACATGCTTACTTAATTACTTCAATACATTCCAAAGACTGTGTTCGTAAAAGTCAGTTTTTGTTAACTACGTGAGTCAACTAAACTGAAGTCCAATTTTAATATTATCCCACAAAGAAAATCTTTATCTCCAAGTGGTTTCTCCCACTTACATTTTCATAACAGAAGGATATGTATTTTAATTTACCAAATTATTGTTCTGAACATGTTATCCGTGAAAAGCAAACTTAAAATACTAGACGAAGCTTAATATTTATCGAATTGTCAGGATAGACGATTCTGAACTTAATTTAATCTCCTCTCAATTTCATCATGAATATATCCTCTATATGTCATTTTAATTTCTTATTGTTTGATCTTCCCCGCAGTTTTAAATTATTATTTGGCGTTGAAATATTAACACAGCAGGGACAGATCGGTCATATAACTGATGGATCCAGGAATAGCCATGAGAAATTTGTAGTAAGTTTACGCGAAACAACTGAATTAACAATTTAATGTTTTAAGTAACAGGAGAACGCTGTTGAATTTCTGTTCTGGTTTAAAAAATTTTACACAACAAATTTGCTGTGGGATTTTACAGCCGCCTGCTTGTCAGATGACGAAGAGAGAGCCCTGCTCTCTGATTCAGACCCCCGCTGTGAAGAGCCCTGATG